ATTATGATATGATGTTTAAATCTGAACTGAAGGACAGATGAGATGATCTTCAGGACTCTGATTATGAGGGATTTTGCCAACAGGACAGTTTGTTACTTATACTTGAGCTGAATGTGTGTAGAATTTAGGATAATGCCTGGCATGTGGTAACCAGAGGGTCCTATTTTTAACAGAAAATTGCCTGGACGTAGGGTAAAACTATAAGCAGTTAATTTGTAAATTGGTTTTCCAGCTTTCTGTCTGGCTCTTCATACATACCATTCTATACAAATAGGACTCTGTGAGCCTCACTGAAGAGCAGAGGTCACTTGCACCCTATCATGAGGCATTGAAATGGAGACTGCATTAGCTGACAGAGAAAGAACAATCGATTGCAACACTATATTGACGGCTCTAGGTCCATCCTTCTGTTTAATTCTCTCCATAACCTGGAAATATAATCTCAGGTGAAGGGAATTGTGTGAAGCCTCCCAGTTAGTGAGTAGACGCTCTGAGCTTCACTTCCAAATCTACCTAATACCTGTGTGTTACACCTTATGTCAATGAATAGTGTCAAATCTTTGGTTCTGATCATTGGGAATTAACAGTTATGGAGCCTTCCATTCATTCTTGGTATCACACTAGTTATATTCTATAAAGCCACTACAAACACTGAATTAGTGAATATGCTAAACTATTGCTCCTACAGGAAATACAGGATTAAGTTCCCAAAAGTCTCTGATCACATTATTTTTCTGCCAATAAATACATGATCTTATTTTATATGTGTTTTTATTTAAAGACACCCTTACTTAATTCGTGCTGTGAATTCATGAACACTGAATTCAGAGCCAACAATAGTACCCCTCATGTTTAAATGAAGTTTATTTAACACTTATTTTCTTCAAAAACCACATCCCAGCTTTCTCACATTTATGAATACTACACAGCAGTACACCTAGGGGCTTTTTGAAAAGCAAAGGCACCAAGAAAATGCACAAAAGTGAAAAATTAAAACATTAGACTGCAAAAGGGGCATTTTTTCCAGTGTGGGAGTGGGAACAGGAAGGCAGAGTATCACCTTGTTTGATCAAAGCTGAGAGACGCAGCTGGGCACATCTATGAACAAGCACAGAAGTGCCGAGACTATTGACTTTAAGGTTACAGATAATTTTTAGCAAGCAGGTGAATTTGTAATTAGAGTCCAGGAATAATGAAGAGTGGCTACTATCTGACACAGTACACATCTCTAAGGCAAAGATACCCTACATTTCAGAGGAAAACTGAAACATTGCCTAAAGGTTTGAATGCAAAAACAAGGTAAGTGCTAAATATATCCATTTACTTTTTGTTTGATCAAATTCTCTGGCTCCATAAATGCAATTTTTGATTTACAGCATTGCTCCACATAAAAGAGGAATTTTTGCTAGGTGCATTTATCTTTGAGGTTTTTATTTTCTTCTTATTTGAGTTTATAATGGAATTTGTGTCTCTCTAAAGAAGAGTTTGTTAAGCAAATAAATCTACAAGAAAAAACACATAATTATATTATACACTTCTTCTGAATGCACTGGATACTGCTTTGCCCATTTCAATCAATTCCAACATCATCAGCCCTTTCAGCCCTATTCCTGAGTAGAATGCAGCTCCTGCAAAGCTTCATGGAGACCAAAAGACTCAATCATTTCCATTACCAGAGACAGGAGAAATTAAATGAGAGTATTTAATTTATCACTCACCGAACACACAAAATCACTTTCAGAAAACTCTATGGAAAATGAGAATCAGGATAAAATTTATCTCTGTTCATATTTTTCTTTAAAATAAATGATTGACAAACTATAATAGTACATAAGATCCTAATGATATAATGGACAATGGGAAATAAGAAGAAAGGGGCTAAAGGTGTAGGGAAAGTGGGAAAGGTAGGGGAAAGCTAATAAGGAGAAAAATATGAGAAAATGAAAAAATGGAAATGAAGTGTTTGTAAAGGGGGAGTGGAGGAGGGGTGAAGGGACTGTAAGGACAAGGGGAAAAAATGAGAACCAAGACCTGTCGTCTAAAGGTACAAGATCCCAATAATGAATGTAACTGTACTGTATACCTAGACTGTGCCAATAAACTCAATGAGGAAAATAAATAAAATAAATGGTTGACAATTATCTGACTGAAAATGGTAAGGTGTCTATGAAGAAGAAGTCGTGTTTAGAAAAGGCCTCCCTTTCTTCTGGTATAATGATATAATTTCATTTTTCTGTCTCAAGGTAAAGCACAATGTTTTCATCTGATAGTCAAGGTTTTCTGTGACATAAACCCAGTTTTCCTTCCGCTCTTGTTTTTCACCACTGCTTTAGTCAGGCAAGTAGATATTTAATATAAATGAAGAATAAGGCATAAGCCATAATCTTTAGTAGGCTAGGGTCTAATTAAGAAGACAAAACTAGCTTATAGAAGTGAAAGATGTAACAGGGCTATGTAATTATATTCATTGATGTGACACAGAACATAGCGTGTATCAGTTTGAGATCAACTCCTGATTAGGTAGACCAAAAGGAAGAGAGAGCGAATTAGAGAAGGAAACTCTGTGAGCTCAAAATGGTTTTTGAAGAATGGTGAGAATTTTTATACTTGAGAAAGGAGTACAGTAGAAGAGAAGAAAAGAGAAAAGTACCTGCAGGTAAGGGAAATCCAAACAGTGAGTGTTTGCCATGGGAAGGTATGTGGTATTGGTGGAATCATGAACAAACCAATAATGAGTGGGAAAGGCACTTCATGTTGAAGAGTAAGAACACACAATTTGGAGACACAGGAAGTGTCACAGGAAGTGTATTGAGGGGGACAAATTAAAAACAGAAGCATTGAAATTTGATGAAGTACAAAATAGCCATTGAAGTCTTTTAATAAAGCATTCTGATAAATCAACATTCACTAAACTGGGCATGCTGGCACATGCCTGTAATCCCAGCACTCGAGAGGCTGAGGCAGGAGGATCACTGTGAGTTCGAGACCAGCCTGGGCTACACAGTGAGTTCCAGGTCAGTCTCAACTACATAGTAAGACCCTGTCTCAAAAAAAAATTTTTTTCACTAAGCTGTGCATGACAGGAATATATATCTACTGATTTTTTCTGTATATATCATATTTAGCCCTCAAGAAATTTTTATTGACTATTATGTAGTAGGCCTTACAGAAAGCAGTAGAACTGCAGGAGCAAACAAGATCAAAATTCTCCCTAGACTCCTGGAAGCATACATTCTAGTAATATTTTCATTGTGTACCTGATTTGATTATCTCAGATGGAAAAGTTTTCAGTGAAAATGACATTTTTGCCTTTGTGTGTTTGTAAATGTCTTTTTATTTAACTTAACTATCCATGAAGTTGGTACTTAAAAATATAGCAGTCTAACTTATCAGAAAACTTGGATCTCTCCAAATTAATCTCGAGCCACTCAGCAGTACTGTAGTACTCTCGAGAGTCAGTACCTCTTATTTCTGGAGAGCATTCAGAAATGGTCCACTCATATCCCATATGCTCTGTCAGCATCTCTTGTCTACCTGCTGCAATTAAACCACAAACACCCTGGCTCAGAATCCTAACATGTCTACATCTCCACCAAAGATGATAGATAAATGAATGAATTCAGCTATGTTGTGACTTTTCCTATTTGAAAGTTTTCCTCCATCCTTTGGGGCAAGTTTTTAGGAGAGAAAGAATGTGTGTCATTTACAGGAGAAAGGTAAGTTCTATCTTTATCTGTATATGTGGAATATCACTTCTGAAATGTAACTTTTCAGTTTTTCTTGTCAAGCTAATTGGAATGTGGTAACTGAGCTGGATATCTTTCCTTAAGGTGATTTTAAAAATGACTGATCCGGTACATATTTTCACTTCCTTAATGGCTACAGTGTTAGCCATTCCATAAATCACAACAATTGGTCTTATCTCAATGCTATGAATATTTCTGTAATATAGACTACTCAGTAAATTATCAAGTACTTATTATTAAAAGCAAGGCAAATTTGGGCCCAAGATTTAGCTCAGTGTTGCTGCGCCTGCCTGGCAAGTGCAAGGTCCTAAGTTCAATTCCCCCTAGTACCTCCACCCCAAACAAAACAAACAAACACCAACAGCAACAACAAGGCAAATTTGACTTAACCATACACATCTTCTTGGAATTTTTTTAACTCTGATGTTTGGATGAAAAACACTTTCAATGTCACTATGAGACTTGCTATTCCTATTCGATGTCTAGAAGTCTTCCTGACAGCTTTGCAAAAACAGATCTTGTAAAGTGCCTAGAGAAAGCCTTTCTTTCTAGAAAACTTGAAATCTTCTGAATTCACTCTGGATGCCAGTGACAGTAAAAGAAAGTACTTGTCTTGTTTGCTTACTTGTGTGCTATTTTACTCATTCACTCATTCTGTTATTAATTTTTTTTACCAAGTATTTATTTGTTAAACAGAGGGGAAGAATTTGACATACAGATAAGTGAGGCACATAGGACTCCAACTAGCCACGATTAAAAAAAATCTACACCTAGACATATAATAATCAAGATCCCAGAAACCCAACAGAAGAACAAAATACTACAAGCAGTAAGAGAAAAGAAACAAATCACATGCAAAGGAAAGCCCATCAGAATCACAGCAGACTTTTCAACATAAACCCTCAGGTCAAGGAGAGCCTGGAGTGAGGTATTTCAAGTCCTAAAAGAAAAAAAACCTCCAACCTAGACTGATGTATCCTGCAAAACTCTCTTTCAAAATGGATGGGGAAATAAGATACTTCCATGACATCATGAATACCATTTTCAAAAAGTACTGCAATATGCCTCTGTCAAACTTTAGGTGGCGCTCCTAGTTGGAATAGGAACCTCAGAACACCCAGGCTGATCCTTGGCAAGGGAGGGAGCTTTCCGTATGGGGGTGGAGGATGGGGAAGAGCAGGATGTGTGTTTGGGTTTCATCTGGAAAAAAAGCATATACCATATTTCGATATAATTTACTTTTGTGTTTCTAGTTGGAAAACTGCATAAAAATATCCATTTTGAACACCCTCCTCCTCTTCTCCGGAAGTAGACTGGAATCTTGTATTTCTTCACAGCAAGTGTATCGCAATTGTAAAGTAAGTATTTGTTTAATTATTTGTGTAATAGGCTCTCTTCTTGGACTATAAGTTCCACCTGGCTTCACTCAATGAATGTTTATTTTGTTTGCTTACTTGCTTGCTGTTTCTTTCATTTGCTCCTTGGTTCTTTCAGTCATTGATTTACTCACCACTCCATCCCTACCCTTTTCCTCCTTCTCCACCTTACTCTCATCTTTTCTCCTCTACTCCACCCTTCCCAATCCTCCCATCCTTCCCACCCACATGAGTTTTAAAAGTCAAGAAACATTATTGTGGGGAAATTAAATGTATATAAGCAAACTTTAAATATACTCTCAAAAAAAAAAAAATACTACGAGACAAGGACGGGGCAGTTTTGCCAAAGTGAAAGAGAAAGCACGACTTTCTCAGCAGACTTTCTCCACATACCATAGCTCTCTTGAGCAGGTGCTGGGCCCCCTGGGTTCTGGCGATGGGAGGGAGGAAGGAGACTGGCAGAGTCCTTTAGCTCTGGATGGCCTGGGCTAGGGACAGATGGCTGGACTCACAAGTGGTGTCTTGGCTCACTCCAGCGGTGTTTCAACTGTCATAAAGGACCGGTCTCTGGAGCCCTGAGGTTCTAGCACATGGGAGATTTCCGAGGGTTAGATCCTGACCCACAAAGCAGAGTTCCCAAGCCCGAGCTGTTGTATCTGCCTCTTAAGGGATTTTTAAAAAGGAAGGGAGGGAAGAGAGAAAAAAGGTAAATTTTGGAAAATATCAGTTGTTAGTCACGGAGAACTAATCTAGTCTCAGTTAAAACACATTTTTAAAGTTGATGTGAACTGAAAAGTTATCGTAACATTGGCAGTCTCTTTGTTCTCCTATGAAGTGATGTGAGTGGAAAGACCAAATTTTGGAAAAATGCATCCCAAAATCCTTACATTATTCCCAACCACAGAAAGAAAACAGAGTGCTGGAAGGGAACTTCAAGTCACAGATGCCAAACCCTTATTGTTCAGATGAAGATAATGAGGATCTCCGGTGAGTAACTCGCTTGAAGCCACTCAGCTCAGGGGTCAGAGCCAAAACTCATATCTTCTGGCAGGTTCTGGGTCCTTTCCACTCCACAGACTGTGGCTTTTCTGTTTCAATTAAAATGAATTTCAAACAGACTGTCCACCATAAATGTATTTTCTCAATTCTCATTCTTTTGTGTAAAACCTCACAGTAGATCAAGCTTCTACTGGTAAAGGAAAAAATAGTGTGCCTTTTTTAAAAACAGTAAAGAGGAAAAAAATGGAAAGAATATAAATGTCATATCTTCTTGTGAGTAAGAATACATCATTATTGTGTGGGTAATAAAGAAATTATTAAAGAAACAGATTCCAATTAATTCCACATTGAAAAGAGTCCAATATATTTTCCAAACATCGTTCTCACATACAATGCACGCATCTGTCCTATGTAACCTGAAAATGATTTATCCAAGTGAAATGGTTTGTGCAAACCTACCAGCTGTATGAATGATTTTGTTTGTCTACTGTGCTAAAATATTGATCTTACATACATTAGGCTAATTAAAATAGACAGGGCCTATTTTCACAGAAAATTCAAAATCCCACTTTCAATTACTCTGCAGAAGTCAGCAAAAGGATTCTATGGAATAGCCTAGAATTTGCTTTAATCTATAAAGTTAAAACCAAATAATTTTTTAAGGCATTAATAAACATTACATTAAAACTTTTGGTATTTTTAGTCTGTCTTCCAATTATTAATGGGTTGTATTCGAAAAGTCAGTGGGTAAATAAGTTGTCTGGAATTTGGAGTATATTTTCCCATAGAAACAATGTCACCCATAGGAGTTAGTTCCCAGACTACCCTTTAAGTGTTATTTAACCCACAGTATAGTGCATCATTCTATAGTTTGAAATTATCATTTTAATTTTAATCTTATTAATAGGATCAAAGATAATTAATTTTGAGATTGCTTAAATACTAAATCTAGGAAGACTAGGTTCAATTATAGATATTAACAATAGTAGATGAAAACTTTTATGTAATTGTTTTTGAAGGCTCTGAGGTACTTTGAGAGAGTATTAAGTCTCTGTTATGTCTATTCGACCATTATGATAATAAGGGAAACAGAAGGAGAAAGGCCCCTGGTCCTTTTTCAACTTCCACTATCAGAGTAACAGGATAGAAAATGAGAAATAAGTGAAAGATGAGTTTAAAATTATGCATATTTCTCATGCACAGAGACTGCCTAAGCTGTGAGTCATGAGAGGAAGGAGGTTCGGTATTCATAGAGAAGAGGTGAAAAGGGACATGGGACTGGAAGTTCTTGTGTTTGTAAGATGGTGGTGTTGAACTACAGAACATTCTGAGGGAAGAGGAGAATGTTAGAGTGTAGTCTGCTTGTGAAGAAATGCACCGATGGTTAAGATCGTCAATAAGCAGGTATTCGTTCTGCTGGGAGAAAGCTTTCCAGTTTTAAGAACGGGAATCTCAATTTGAATTCATATAGTCTACCAAAGAACTACAGTGTTCTAAGAGCTGGGGCTGCAGGAGCTACTGCAAAATTACCAAACAATTACCTTTGACCTTGAGACGATAACAGCCAGCGCTTATGAATTATTTTAATTTGTCTAATCTTTGAAGTTGGTATTAACATTAACCCATTTTGCAGTTGAAGAAATTGAGGCACAGAGAAGGTAAGCAGTTTGCCCAAAGTCATATGGTTGGTGTTGGAAGCAATATTTGAACCCAGGTAGCCTGAAGGCAGAATGTAAGCTCCTAAGTGCCATCCTGAACGCTGCCCTAACATATCTCTGGTCCACATTCTTGTCTTTTGCCATCAGTCACTCCTACCCCTGATTCCATCTGCAATTTGACTGAACTCAAAGAAGAGACTGTGCAAGGGGACTGGAAATGGAAAGGGTAATCAAGGTCATGGCTTTCAGGCTTCCTTCAGATTCTACAGCTACCGTGAAGAAAGCTGCATTCCCACGAGAACATGTCAGCCTGGAAGAAAAGTATGACAAAGGGTCTCCAGGAAGCCCTCTGACACTTGGATCTTATCTCATTCCATAAGCGAAAGACCGGTTCTCTAAACCAAAGAACGATGCAAAGTATGTCTTTATCAAGCATTGTTTTCGCATTACTCCCCTGTGTAGGATGGGACAATCACTCCATTGTCTCTTTAAACAATTTTTAAATATTCTTGAATTTTGGCTTAGAAATTGTCATTTGAGATGACTTTGACCCCTTGGACTACTAGCTCATATTTTTTTACTTCAGCCTGGCAAAAGTTATTGTCCCTCATAAAACTTTACCCTCTCTCTCTTCTAAGCCATCACATAAAACTTTCCTTCTGATTATACATACCCCTTCTCAAGTCATATCCATTACTCTGTCAACTTCCCATGGAGGTTAATCTGCTAGTGAGAATTTAAGTGAACTCTCGGAGCAGAGATATTCTCACAGAGCATGGAGCCTGGACTCTGAAGTCATCCAGTGCAAGTTCAAATCCCAGTTCTTCCATTTTCTAATTGCCACACTGGTAAAACTAATCCTTCTAAACCATTGTTTCCTTGCTTGGAAAATGAATATAAAAATAATATTATTAGCATAATGTTTGTTCTGATTAAATGAAGATTATGAAGATATACTCCTCAGTGAAATAAATAAGTCACACAGGTGTAAATACTGAATAGTTTTTCTGGTGTGAACAAACTATAATAGTACAGAAGATCCTAATGATATAATTGACAATGTGAAATAGGAAGAAAAGGGCTAAAGGTGTAGGGAAAGTGGGAAGGGTAGGGGAAAGGTAACAAGGGAAAAGAAAAAAAAGTGAGAAAATGGAAATAAAGTGTTTGTAAATGGGGAGGGAAGGAGGGGCGGAGGGAGGTCAGGGACAAGGGGAAAAAATGAGAACCAAGACCTGTCATGTAAAGCTACAAGATTTCAATAATGAATGTAACTGTACTGTATACCTAGAATGTACCAATAAACTCAATAAGGAAAAAATAAATAAAAAGGAACCCTCCCAAAATAAATGAAGATTAAATGTGATATTAAACATAAGAAACAATTCAGAGTAAACACATCTTAAAATTTATTATTATAATTTTTGGTCCCCATTATAATTTTTGGAGGGCAAAATAATCAGATGTATGTACAAAAATGGATACAAAGATATGTTCAACACACCATTTTTTTCTTTTTCTTTCTTTCTTCTTTTTTTTTTTTTTGGGACAGGGTCTCACTATGTAGTTGAGACTAACCTGGAGCTATGTAGCCCAGGCTGGTTTCAAACTCACAGTGATCCTCCTGCCTCAGCCTTCTGAGTGCTGGGATTACAGGCGTGCACAATCACGCCCACCTCAACACACTATTTTTTATGAGTGAAAGTCCAAAATAATTTATACCCAATCATGGTGACAATGCAGCCATTTAGAGGTTATCTGCTGAATATTGGAAAATATTTAGGCTATACTGGCCAGCTTTTTAAAGAAAATGAACCATAAAACCTGAAGAATGTGATGTTTGGTGCAAAAGTATATGTTTAGAAAACAACTGGAAGAATTCAGATAAAAAATAGATTACAATCATCTAAACAGGAAAAGATATATAAAATGTGAATTGGTATTGAAATTATGAATAATTTTTAACTATGTTTTATATGTTTTGGTCCTTCCTAAAGTTTGTATCTTTTACAATTAGGAAAATTATAGGCTGTTGAAAAATATTGTATAAGATCATCTGAGAAGCTTAACCTTCTCAGATGATCTCCTCCTGGCTCCAATTAATTCAGACATCCAGCTCATCCACTTCCTTTATTGCCTTTCTCACTCTCTACAGATTTATGTTCCTTCTGCACAGCTGCAGTTGGTTTTGAGTATTTGGCAGAGTTTATAGTTGGTGTTTAGATATATTTATGTGTGTTCTTTCTCCCTCATCAGACTGCATTTCCACAAGAATATCTTTCCTCTTCTCCCTGTAGACCTGCACAGTGACTTGGAACTTCTATGTCCCAAATGCTAAATGACTGAGGTTATTGTGAGGGGGAAAAAAATCAAACTTGCTTAAATTGTTTCATTATAAACATCAACATTTATGTCTCAAATTGTTAGAAATGGAGGGGCTTATGGACTGGCTGGAAATTGTTCCTGGTGTCTGAGGCAATGTTCTGTGTTTATGTAGCTATTTCATTTCCTCCTGGGGCATAGAAATACATTTTCAAGGCTCTCGAATTGAGAAAGGGTTACAGGACTGGTTCTGACCAATGAAATGGGAGCAAAAACGGGACCCACCACCTCCAGGCACTAAATAATTTCGTGTGTTTCTCTGTAATTTTTGCTTCCCCTGCTGTTTGCTGGATGAATAATAGCAGGATGATCTTGAAGCCACAGTACAGAAGAGCCACAAAATAGAACCTAGGTTCCTGAATTTTTGTTTTAAGGGGAATCATTCAGGAAAATTACCGGAACAATGACTTCTAAAATGCACTGTCTGTGATTTGAGGGTTATGTAGTCATGTAGCAACCCTATCATGATAAATGACAAAAAAGTACATAAATTCTAAACCAATTCAAGAACATATTCTAAGTGTCAAACAAATAGTATAATTTTTAGTAAATTATCTAATGTTTTACTTTTCCCCCAGAATCTTTTGCTTGCTCGCTTTACTTAATCCTCTTAGGAAGTTCACTGAACAGTAAGATGTTATCCTTGTGTCACAATTCAAGAAACTCACCTAAAGAGTGGTTACATCCTTTGACTGATGTTAGTACCAAGACATCATTATTCCAAATACTGTATTTTTTCCTGTATTGGAGAGTTACTCCTTGTCTCTAGGCCTAAATATTATGAGTTCAGGGCAATGACTAATGCTTAAATTACTTATAGAAAAGATGAATAGGGCTGGGGATTTAGCTCAGTGGTTTGGTGGCCTGCCTTGCAAGCGCAAGAATCCAAGTTCAATCCCCAGTACAAAAAAAAAAAAAAAAAAAAAAAAAAAAAAAAAAAGATGAAAACATCTTAAATTGTCCTAAATTGTCTAAATTGTATTTCTCCAAGATTGGTTACTGAAGAAGCTAATAGATAGTCCCAGGCCAAATGAGTTTGGTAAATATTACATTATGTACATGTGGCCAGAAGTGTTCTGTTGACTATCAAACTCTCTGAGGCTTTGACTTATGTGGAAACTCCTTTAGATGTGATATGCAGTACATTCCATACATCTGACAGGAGATCTCTTCTATGGTATAACCATCATTGTAAAGCACGCAGAAGCACCTCAAGGAAGACTGCTCTAGATAATACCTTTGGTTCTCCACTGCACTGTTGTCCACTTTAGTTTTATCTGTTCGTGTCCACTCAGACTATGTTTCTCAGCTAATATTGGACCAACAACATTTTCAAATCCATTTGATCAGAGTCAAAGGAGATATCCAGAGAATAAGGAGGTGGAAAATGCATTTAGTTTTGAGCTTATTCCAAATATGAGCAAATCACAGTCATTGCAACTGGGATATAGAAGATATAAATAGGAGAAAAAGATGCAGATCAACCCTACTTTACTCAATCAGCATACTGGCATTCACTATCACAAGGGAGCTACTGGGGCAGTGTAGAGTCAGATTTGAGAAAGGATTAGATAATTTTATGAGCCTGACTAGCATTTATAGCTATGTGAGTTAGAACAAAAAGGATACAAGGAAATGAAGTCTCATGTTTCAGGATGTAAATTGATTACATGTAGAGGGAGGGGCAAAAAGGAATTTTCACCTCATGATCCAGTGTGGAATATAACACAATGGACCAGGTGCAAAAGGCTTGACTCTCCCTTTTTATTTTCCTTTTTTTTTTCCCCCTTTGGTACATCTGATTCTGGCTAAACAGAAGGTGGGGATATTATGCCTGACAAACAGTGATTTGATCCCACAAGGCAACTCCTATTGAAAGCCAAGATAACACAAATATTTTCAATACTTTGAGTTGAACCCAGACTAAGTATTGTTTTTTGTGGGTGAGTTCTCTCTTCTTTTATTAAGGGAAGATCACTTTATGAGAGCAAAGAATATTTGCATTCCTAGCATGAGAAGAATTTAAAATTGCCAACCAACACATAGTTCAAGCAAATAAAGAGAATTGGAGAGTTTCCACAAGGTAAACTAAGATCATCTTAATTAGTGAAGACTCATGAGCTAGGATGGATCCAATGTGGAAGAGCTGGCCATTTAAAACTATTTCCTTCGTCTTAACCAGAAAAATAAAATGTGTTTTTGAGCTGAAGTACTCTGAGCCTGGTGATAATTGAAGGTCATAGAAAAGGGGATGGCAGATTGTATGGGACTGGGTGGATTCTCACCCCCTATATCTCCATGGGAAATTGAGGGAAAATATTCTACACTAGTGGACCCCAGGGACCCAATGAGAACTAAATTTTATTGAGTGAGTCCCATCTGGGATGAGAAGAATTAAGACACAGAACTATGGGACACAGGCGATGAGAGGAATGGCAAGTCCAGCCTTGTGGTAAATAGAGTTAGTTAGCCGTGCAGTGCATAACCCATGTCAGGATTTTCACATTAAGATTACAGACTCAATCAGATCAAGGATTGTGGGCATTTTCATTGTAGGAGCTAAACTGACTTTTTCAAGACTGACTTGGTTGTGTGACAGTCCTACATCATAATAAAAACCCTAAATATCATTTACATCAGGGAGGACCTTTCCTTTTGGTACCAAGCTAGCTGTTCTTTTGAACTCATGGCAACAACAGACACTATTGTCTACACAGCCTCATCCTCTTATCCTTTCTTCCCAAGCATAGCCTAGTTCTATGATAAAAACTTAAAATTTCAGCTTTTTCTTGTCCACGGAGTGGACTATGTGGTCAAGTTCTATTCTGGCTTAAGGAATTCTAGGAAATATTTTCTGTTTTGGATGGAGGAAGAGATACATAGGGGGAGAGATCCCCCACCATGGTACCCTTTCTACCTGACTTCGTGGCAGTCAATTTGTGAACATAAGGTGACAAGTATGAGTCATAGTAGAGCTGATAATAATGACAGTTTGAATTCATAATGATCTCATCGAGCCACTATTACAATCCTAGGTCTTGTAAAGCCACATTAGGATAGATTTTTCCAATATAGGCCAGAGCCTTTTAACTGTCAAATATATCCAGTGAAAATATGGTTATGTGTTCCAGCAGGACACAGAACACTAAAAAAACATTTGGCTTGTGACTTCTGTTTATCTTGAATCACTGATAGTCACAGATGTAGACAGGTGTAGTTGTCCTAGAAAAGTAAAAAACCAAGACTTGCTTGATGAAAGTCTGCAAATTCACTGGCTAGTGTTGGCAGAGGCCAAGGTCATGAGTGCTTTTATCCTTGCAGAGGAAGCAGCAATCATCAGGGCTCCAATTCAACAGGTGAAAAAAAGAGAGGGTTTTTACTCCATATCTCAAGGGTTTTTATTCCTTTTCCCTTATAATCTTAGCTTTTCTTTCTTACTTTGATTAAAAGAGACACTTTTGCTTTTTTATTTTGTCAGTTCTGATATTATTGAATTCTTTAACATGACAACTTGATGATTGTACAGAGCAATGCAAAAACGTGTACATGGAGTGTAGGATTGTTTAGTAAACAGAAGCCTACC